CCTGCTTTAGACCACTAGTTTGGCGTTCTAATAGTCCCAATTCAGCCAAGCTTCAATCTAATGGATATCTTGATAAGTTGGTATTGTTTGGATCGAATACTAACTTAGATTATCCTAAAATGACCTTGATCAAGACTTTAACAAATCATCTATATATCTGACATATTTACGAAGCTTTCGGTATGTTGAATGCTCTTCCAACATATCATTCGATATTTTAGCACTTCGTCTAAACCTTCGATACATTACCATTTCTTTCAGCATATCACCCATTCTATCAGCATGTTGACTTTCCCACAACATCCAATCTTTCAATGTAATATCTGATTCTTTCAGCATGATGTCTGAACTTATAGAACAAAGTCTAATCTTCAACACATCAACTAATCCTTCGACTCAATGTCTAATTTTTGGCACAATAATTTCTCAATGTAAGGTCCAACTCTCCTGCTCGATAGTTGGTCTTTCAGTTATCCAAGTCCATTATTGAAGTATTTCCTCTATCAATTATCTCAAAAATATATTAGTCTAATAAACTCATCAATTGATTTTATCATCAAAATCTGAGATTCAATACTTAAAAATATGAACTACACTTAAAAGTATGAACTTTAGAAGGATAGAAGAAAATTCCTCGTCACCCGAAATTAGATTTGTTCGATGGAAGACTTAACATCCATTGGTCAAGCAAAGAGAATAATGAATACTTATCAAAATCTCATGGCCCTTTTTTCGACATGTAAAGAACTAAAGTATTCCTTGAGGAGGAGAAATCAAAAGGGGCAATAGTAACCTTAAAGCCCCAAGAAGTCTAAAAAAACCCTTGAGTCAATGGTGACGATAATAAGGAAAACTCTATCAACACGACATGTGTATATGACATGGTCGAGCATTGCAATGCCGACCACATCAATGGACCAAAGGAAAATCTCAAATCTACAGACGGAGAGAGAAGAAACCACGGTGCAAGATTCAACGGAATGTTAATGTCCCAATTAGGGGAACCGTGAACAAGGACGATCTCAACAACTTTCAACCAAATTGGTCAAGCACTATTAAAGTGCCTCTTGAAGTCTCAAAGCCTTATTTAGCCAAGAGTATATTACAACAACCCACTTACCTCAATCCAAGATTCAATATGACTCGAATTAGGGTTGCCCTCACCCAAATAGGGGCATCTACTAAGCAATGGGGTGCAGTTGTCCTATAAGAAAAGTAGTAGATGTGTGTGCCCTACAAGGAAAGACCTACAAGAGAAATCCTAATTGCTATACCCATAAGAAAAGTTCTTAAATTTTAAGGACTTAAGACACCTCTCTCTCTATAAAACAAGAGGTGTACTTCTATCTAAAGGATACCAAGAAGCCCCAATAAGAGTTCAGTCAGCCTTAGCTATTTCAATAGAACAGAGAGGAGAAGAGATAAGGAAAGAATTTTGCATGGTACAACCATCCTTCCTAATGTAGCCTTTTTCTTTCGGTTCTAACAGCCAAAACCCCACATCAAAGCTTTGTTCATCTACTACAAGAAGTTCCAAAAACATATTGTTCAAGCCTTAGGAGGAGGTTCTAATAACAAGAGAGATGGAGAAAATCAAAACAAATAGTAAGACGAAAACAACAAAGAGCACCCAACTGTTGTCTAAAGACAACATGCTTTCTTATGCATTTATAAGCTTTTTATTATGCCTTTATTTCATTATTTCAAGTGTTGTAGTTAGCACTTTGAATTTAAAAAAAATAAGTTTTTTTCAATTTTATGCTTAATTTTTCTTAGATAGTTCTTTCTTTCACCAAAACTTTTATTTAAAAGATGGTATCGAGTCGACGGATTATTGAATCCATTTTATGCTTGATCCTTATCTACCATTATTATAGAAAAGATATATAACCCTCGAGAGATTTATTTTTATAAAAATATTATAGATACCATATGATGCCTAAACGAAGAGAAAGTCTAAGGGTGAGAAACTCTCTCATATCTATTTTTTTTTTCCTTTCTCTTCTCTCCGCCTTTCTCAATCTTCAATCATTATAACAACATTAACACTATCACAAAACACAAAAGGAGCAATAAAATCAACAACTAATCATAGCCCATGTTGATAACCACCGCCCTACGTGTCACATCTTCGTGATCAATCACTATTTCATCATTCAAGGCCAAGAACATTAAGAACATTATATCCTTTTAAGAGTTGTTTATAGGAAATATGTTTTCTCTCAAGGCTTAAGTAATATATCAACTCAAGGATTAAAATTGATCCAATATCTTAATTGTATGATTTGTTTAGAATTAACTCTTGACATATTTCTTTTTTATCCTTCCACTCAAAAGTGAGCTTTATAATCCTTCTTAGTTTTCTTTACTTAGTTATTTTATACTTACTTATCTAGTTTATTAAATTATTATCTAAACTAATCGAAAAGTAAATTAAATCACGATGAAATATGAATTAGCATCTTCATTGTCACCTCCCATCTTTCTCAAGTTCTTTCAACTTAATCACTTCTTATTATAATTTTATTCTTTTTATTGATCAGTGGAACACTTAGAAATTTGATAAGTAGATGACTGATAAGGGCTTCTTATGGTAATACATATGACTTGGATATCCTGCTGGCATCGTGCAATAAATAAAGAGGCTTATTATACTATATATCAATCATGAATCTTTGCAAAGTATGATATATTAGTTTTTGAGAAAATAAAAAGATCATTTGTGAATATTAATGAGCAACCAAAGGATTGCAAATGTTGTTGTTATAGTTAGTCTTGCTCCCTTTGAGATTTGTGATCAGAGTATGATATTTTACAAAGATTGATATTTTTATTAGTCAACCAATATTATCAATATAGTCTCACTCGCTTTGAAATATATGATCAGGGCATAATATTTCACAACTTTTGTTCTTATAATCTATCGAGTATTATTGATATAGTTTTGCTGTCTTTGAGCTTCGTAATATATTTCATGATGTCTCTTCTCTTTTCTTCGTTTTTCATCTTTGATGATAAGAATAAAAATATTACTATTTATAATCTCTTATTTATTATTTATTATTTTATTAATTTTTTATTATTATTTTAAAACTATCTTTTACTCTTTTTTTTTTCTTCTCTTATTTTTCATCTTTCCTTTTCTTTTCTTATTTCTCCTCAAAGGATAGTGTCCACACGATGGATGAAAGAAAACATAATAACACCAGTATAAATAATAGCATAATAACACCAGTATTTATTTTTTAAAAGAATTATAAATAATAAAAATTGTTAATAATAAATGAGAGCTTCTCAGAATAATAACACCAGTATTATGACCATGCATTGCTCGCAGCAAAGGGTCAAACGACAGTCACGTCGGTCCTCGCCCGTTCTCCCGCGACCTGCGCACGGCCCACACCAACCCTTCACCACCGCCTCGCTGTCGCTCGCTGCACATCTCCTTTTGTTTCGAGCACCGAGCCGCTTCGCTTCGGAGGAGACAGGGTAGACACGGAGCTTACCGCCACCGCGACGGGTTCCTTTCTCTCTTCTCGTCTTTCCTTCTTTTCCGACACACACAGAAGATAAAAGAGAAAGGGGACCAGACATGTGAGAAGCTAAAGTACGTGAGATGGAGATCTCGTCTCTTCCACTTCACTTTTGCTTTTCCCTCTGTGGTCGTCAGCCACGTCCAACTTTGGGGAAGTCACAGAATATTATTGCCCACTGGATTGCAACTTAAAGGTGGCACCTTCCACGAGGCTGCCTCCGGGAACCCATAGCATTCATCCCATATCTCTCTCTCTCTCTCTCTCTCTCTCTCCCTCCGGCCCTGTGAAATTGAACGTATTGATTTCTCTACTGGTTGAAATTGAATAAGGTTCTAACTCACTCTCAACATGTGTTACTTCATGTTGTAATTGTTGTAATTGTGAGATACATCAGGATTTAAACTAATCCGGATCCAACGTTTCAGCTAGTCATAAATCTGATGTTAAAAGTGATGAGAGATTCCATCTATAGGTGTTTTTGCAAAAGCAGTATCAGGATATACCTAATAAAATTCCTCTCATATTTAAATTAGTAAAATCATAATATTCGAAAGATAAAAATATAATTTGACATTGACAGATGGTGTAATGGATGTACTTAAGATTTTTTATAATAAATTTAATTAATCATCAAAATATAAGTAAGAAGTTAATCCATGAAATAATTATATAAAATCATCTATTTTTATTCAACTATATAAATATTCATCGAATCATCGATAATTACGAATTAACCTATGTTGAGATCAAAAACCCATTATTATAACGTGTCGAGATGAGTGAACATTCATTCAATAAGCGTCATTATAGGATAGGTTATGCAACTAACATGTCGGGCCCATAAGGCTCGGTGGAACCTAACAAATTGTCCGGTTGTGTAGGTGTTAATTCCATTATTGTTGATAATCACCTGAGTTGTTGGACAATTTAAATGCCAAAGTCTTTTGGTTCTGTTATTTTAAATATTGTACGTGTAAAATAAGTATGGTAAATGATCATACATATGCTATCAAGAAATAGCTTGTGAACTGACAAACTTTGTATTTTGATGTGACTATTTAATTGCATAAGGGTGACCAGAATTGTGCCAACCTGACTAACTTTTATTGCCAAGGGATAAGTTTCTCAAAGGAAGTCAATATTTTCCATCAGAAACTTGATTTTTGGGGCCCTTACCATATTAAAGACTTTGAATCCTAAGGAAGATGAAGATGATCATGCCAATGGGCAAGCCACCTGTGTCATTAATTGACGAGAATTATGTTTCATTCATGTGTTATTGCATACGTATATGTATATAAATAAATACATTTTGAGGCCATATAGAAATATACGAAAAAAGCACTTAAAAGAATTCCAACGCAGGCCTCTGTCCGCTCACCTACTGTTCCTAACGCCACGTCATCCTCTGTTTCTTCAACGGCCCCCGTCCCATTCACCGTTTCCTTACCGCCACCTCGGTGACTCTACCCCGACACAATCTTACTCCTCCCATACCTTTACTTACACGCAGCGCGTCGTCGCCTTTGACTCCCGTTCTCCACCTCCGTTCGCCCTTCCTCTATCTCCTCTCTTCGATTCCCCCGGTGGCAGTCTCCTGACCACCTTCCTCCTCTCACAACCGCGGCGTCCGTACCGTCCCGCTCCGCCCCCGCGGTCGAAACACCACTGTCTTTTGCTCCCAATTAAAACCCGCCCGTCCCTTGTGTGAGAGAAATCGTCTTCTCCTCTCGATCTCATATCGTTTCGGGAGAAGTAAATCTTAGGGTTTGGAGAAGAGTCGTTCTTTTTGCGCGTGGAGATCGATGAGAGTTCGGCGGGGAATCCGCCATGGATGACGGCCGGAGGTACCGGAGGATCGGGTTCAGCGGCGGCGCGGCGACCGCACTCACATGGAATGGCAGATCTCATTGGTACTGGAAGCGCTGACCGGGACATCGACAAGGTAACGGGCTTTGTTCTTTCTCACAGATTCTTCTTCTCATCAGATTATTGGATCTATTTTTCATGTTCGATGGTTTCTGTAGCTCAAAGTAGTTTTTTTTTTGTTTGCTTTCCCATGTTGAATTTTGTGGGTGGAATGAAGAGATTACAGGCTATGAAGATAGTTGTGTTTGTTTCTCTTACGAACTCACGAATTTTTTTGTCGATGTCCATGGATCTTCTTCTTGTATAAATGCTATTTTCCAGTAAGTGAAGAACTGGGGATGTTATTGGGAGTGTCTGAGGATTTCTGATTACAGGAATAGGTAGAAAGAGATAGCTTCAGTCTTTCTTCATCAGAAAAGGTTCCGAGGAGGGAGATGTACGTATATTTTGTCAAGATGTAGTATAGCATAGATTAGGGCAGTTGTTGAGCAGAGTGCTGGAATTGACATGAACCAGTTAGCATGGAAGAATGTGTGAAAATAGTGAATAGGAAGTATGTTGGTTCATTGTTGAATGATGAAAGAAATTTGAAATGAATTTTATAGGTGTGACAGAAAAATGCAATGGCTTTCCTGTGAGAACCGGCAAGGTAAGACCACTGCCTTCCAACTTTGACTGGGTGCTAATATAGTTAAATTGACCTTTACTTTCTAATAAAAATAATCACCAATAAATTCACATCAGAAAGCAGTGACCTTCTGATAAAATCTGAGTATGGGTTATTAAATTATGTAGCCCTATCTAATTAGATAAGATAAATTATAGATGTAATTGGATTCTGATCATTGTTATCGATCAAACAAAAGGAAGTCCAATTATGATATGATTCCTTAGGAGATAACCTTGATGAGAGGGACTCTTCTGATTACCATCCTAGGCCCTCTGCTCTCGCTTATAAAAGGACATGACCTCTTAGGGATGAAACATTAGATATTAAGATTATATATCTGTTCTCAATATCTCTTAGTCCCTATTTCATTGCCCATGGCGGTCCTGTAAAGGATAGGAAGAGAGCAGAAGAAGAGTCTAGCTCTTCTTGCATATCAGCATTGTTGTAGCTTTTGGATCCAACGATGGTTCGTTTGCAAATCAGATAAAGGTTTTTCGAATGACATTGAAATGTACATAATCTCAATCTTGATATATCATTATTTGATTTCGATTCTAACATTAAAGTTTTTCGCATAACAGTAGTATAATTATAGTTTTCATACTTATAATTGACATCAGAGCCATGTTTTAAAATCAAATACCTTAGATTGTAAAAGTATATCAAATCTGTTTTATATTTAGATTTATTTATTAGCACCATTCGTTTGTGAAAAGGTGTTGTTCGGTTTTGATTGTACGATGCTTGAACAATCCGTCTATGTTGTTGATCTACTTTCTTATCTCGTCCATCCTGTTGCCTGCTTACGGGCGATGTGAGGTTCCTCGTGTTGGATCGATGGACTACCGTTGATATCTTGCTGTTGGCGATAATATTGTTGAGGGCGGTGGCCTTCGGTGGTCGTTGGTCCACTCGCAATCAACAGTTGCATACAAGTGCTACTATATGTAGTGAAAGCGTAGTGGGGTGCAAAATCGACGGCGATCGCATACACGGTTGCTTATGTGCAGTAGCCTTACGATGGTCGGCCTGCCTTGGTCGCAAGCAACTGCACATGTAGCAATGCCACTGCTTGCGACGATTGTAGTTGTGTGATGGTTACAACGTTGCCTTTAACCGGCGGTTGTAGTAGTGCCGTTGCCTATGACGACTGTGGTGGCAACAACGCTGCCTTCGATTAGTGACAACAACAATGCCATTGCGATGACATTTACTTGCCACTGCGATGACATTTACTTGCCATAGCCAGTGTCAATTTGATGGCAAAGGCCACAGTTCCTAGCGGTTGTGCGGTGGACAAGAACAACCGTGGTGACTAGTGGGGTCGGTCGTTGCAATCCAACAGACGATGGTCAGCGGCGTATGGCCACGGAGGTGTTTTGTCGGTGAGGAACCCACACGTAGTGAGCATAGTCACGCGTGGGCGCGATGGCGTGACCATTGGTGGGATCGCAAGTTAGCCGTGTGAGGCTCGTTGCACATTACGACGGTCGTAGGCGACGCACAAGCAATGGACAGTCACACACTACGACGGCTGTATGCCTTATAAAGCAGCGACTGAGAAGAAAAGAAAAGAAAAGAAAGAAAAAACATAGGATTTCACCCATTAAAATTATAGTTTTGCCATTATGAATCCTTTTAATTCCAATCTATGTCCCCTTGATAATTTTGCCTTTTAGAAATAATATATTTCCATTATATATCCCAATCAAATTATAATTTTACCTTTCAGAAATTAAATATTTATTATTTATGTCCTCAATTATAAAATTGACTAATTTAATTTATTTTAATCAAATGTTTTGATTGGATTTGATCCTGATTGTATTTTGACTATTTGACTATATTTAGATTCGATCAATCACGTTTTGATCGAATATAGAGAAAGTCAATTTTTGATCAATTTTTAACTTTGATCAACTTTAATTTTGATATACTTAATTAGGCTAATATTTAGCCTAATTTTGGGTCGATTGGTTTAATTCATAGTTCCATACGGAATTTAAAAAAGAAAAAAAATATAAATTATGGTTTTCTTTTATATTTTTCTCATATGACATATCTAATATATAAAAATTCTTAAGCTATTGACACTCTTGAGGTATGCATAAACGAAGTCGAGAGACAATTAGATAGAAAAATCAAAATTATCAAATTTGACAAGGGTGGTGAATTTTATGGTAAATATGATGAGTCCGATTATAATTCTTATCCTTTTACTAGTTCGATCAAAATCTTGGTCCTTTTACTAGATTCCTAAAAAAACGAGGTATTTGTACTCAATATGCCTTATCAGGTGTGCCACTATAAAATAACATTGCTTAGAGGCGAAATCATACTTTTATTGACATGATTATGAGCATGATGAGTTATTCATTTGTACTTAAGTCAATATATGGTGAAGCTCTTAAGATAACTATGTATATCTTGAACATGATTCCTAGTAAATCGGTTCTATTAACTCCATTTGCGTTATGGACCGGTAGGAAACCCAATTTGAGATATCTACATATTTGAGATTGTCCTTCAGAGATAAGTGTCTTCAATTGACATAAAAAGAAATTGGATTCAAGAATTATAGTTCTGGGTATTTTATTGGTTATATAGAAAAATCCAAGGGATACAAATTTTATTGTTCTAATCATAGTACAAACATAGTAAAATATGGTAATACAAGATTACTAAAAAATGACGAAATCAGTAGTTGTGAAAAATCTCAAAAGATTAATTTTGATATAAAGGAGATACCAGTTGATACTCTTTTATCATTTTCTATTCGAGAGATTATTGTTCCTCAAATTACTAAACGGATTGATTATGGTGAACAACAAAATAACAATGATGAACTCCCATATGATGTTGATGTTATCGCTAATGATCCTATTAAACAATCACAACTGATAATTTTAACAGGATCTCAAAAGAAAAGAAGACTTGCCATTTATGATGATTATGTAATATATCTACAAAAATACGATTGTGACATAGGAATCAAAAGAGACCCCTTATCGTTTTCACAAGCCATGAAAAGCAACGATTTAAAAAAGTGGTATGATGTGATGAAAGTAAAGTTAAAATCAATGGATCAGAATGATGTTTGAGAACTCGTTAAAATTTCGAATAACTATAAAAGTGTCGGTTGCAAATGGGTCTTTAAGACAAAACATAACTCAAGAGGCAATATTGGACTATATAAAGCTAGACTTATGGCTAAAGGTTTTTCTCAGAAAGAAGGTATCGACTATAATGAGACTTTTTCTTTAGTTTATAAAAAGGACTTGCTTAGGATTGTTCTGATATTAATAGCTCATTATGAACTTATGTTACATTAGATGGATGTAAAAATAACATTTCTGAATAAGGATCCAAATGAGGGAATCTACATAGAATAATTTGAAGGATTTGTAGAAGAGGGAAAGGAAAGTTGGGCTTGTAAATTTAGGAAATCTATTTATGACCTTAAATAAGCTTCCACACAATAATATATAAAGTTTCATGATACTATTACTTCTTTTGAATTTAAGAAAAATGCTGTTGATCAGTGTATATATTTGAAAGTTAGTGAGAGCAAGTTTATTATATTGATCTTATATATGAATGATATTTTGTTTGCTAGTAGTGATCTTGGTTTACTGCACGAAACCAAGATGTTTCTTACCAAGAATTTTAAGATGGCTGATATGAATGAGGTAGCTTATGTTATTGGCATTAAGATATTTAGAAATAGATCTCAAGGATTGCTAGGACTATCTTAGAAATGATATATAGACCGAGTCTTGGAGAGATTTAGTATACAACTTTGTTTAACTAATGATACATCTATTAACAAAAGGTGAAAGATTTAGTCAAAGCAGTGTCTTAAGAATGACTTAAAAAGGAATCAAATGAAAGATATTCCTTATGCATGCGTAGTTGGAAGTCTATTATATGCTCAAATCTGTATGAGATCTGATATCAGTTTTGTAGTTAGAATACTAGATAAATACCAGAGCAACCTAGGAATGAAATATTGGAAAGCTGCAAAGATAGTGATGAGATATCCACAGGGGGATGAAAGATTATATGCTTACATACAGGAGATCAGATCAGCTTGAAGTAATGAGATATTCAGATGTTGATTTTACAAATTCCTTCGATGGTAGGAAGTCCACTTTAGAATTTATATTCATATTAGCTGAAAGGCAAGTTTTTAGAAAAGTACAAAGCAACCACTTATTCATTCATCAACAATGGAAGTTGAATTTGTGGCATACTTTGAGACCACAAATCAAGTTTTATGGTTATATAATTTCATATCACGATTTAATGTGATCGATTCAATTGTTAGGCCGTTGAGGATATTTTATGATAATACGATAATAGTTTGCGATAATTCAATTGTTTACAATTGATGTGATCGATTCAAT